CTGCACGGGGAGAACATGCAAACTCCAAGCAGAAAGATTCTGGTGCCCCCACTGGGACGCGAACCGGCAACCTTCTTGCTGTGAGGTAGCAGTGCTAACCAACTGCGCCACCTTGCAGCCCTATAACAATAATAATAAACTTTATTTGTATAGCACTTTTTAAGAACACAATTTGCAAAGTGCTTTTCCATAAAGAAAAAAAACAACATGTATAAAAAGTACAGGCAAACACTCAAAATATAAAAGTACACACAACAAAAATGGAAGAAGAACCGACTGGGTCACTCTTGAAAGGAAAACTGATTAAGAAGACTGATTAAAAAGACGACATCACAGAGGGGAATGAAGATAAAAGCTGTAGATAAAAGTAGATTAGGAAAGATAAAAGAGAGAAGGACGGCAGTTAGTATTAATTAAAAAAAAAAGGGAAAAGAAAGAGGAGAAAATCTAAAAGAGAACATCACTCGAAAGCAAGTCTATAAAAGTGGGTTTTAAGAAGTGATTTAAAAGATGATATTGAGTCTGCCAGCCTTATTTCCTCAGGTGGGTCGTTTCAAAGCCGAGGGGCCCTCACCGAAAAGGCCCGGGCGCCTTTGGATTTGAGTTGTCCGTCTGTATCTCAATCCGTTCGTCCGAAGTTGTCAAAGTGTAAAAGAAGTTGTCAATGCGAACCGAAATCTACAAAAGTCGTCTCACAATTTGTCTGTAATCAGGTTTTCAAATGTGTAAAAAATCTGCTCATGGATATGTAGTAAGAGTTGTCAATGCGTACAGAGGTATTCGTCGTTGAAAAAGCTACGTATTCGAGTCAAGCTGCTTCCCCATTGGCTGTCTTTTCACACGTGACGTTTGCTGCACTTCTACCGTGGGAGAATCTGAAACTGAAGAGTATCTGAAAATCAGGGTTTCTGCTTCCTGAGGCTCACAGGATGGTTCATTGTGTACCGCTCTGCTGCTCTGTAACTCAGTCGTTATCAGACGGCGTTACGCATCAGAGTCTCAAAATCTCACTTCAGACGAACGGATTGAGATACAGACAGACAAATCTCCATGGACAAATAGTTTTGCTAGAATGCTGCCCCCGTAGGTATC